TGACAATAACCTAAACTAGACTAAACTTCAACTAAGATGAACTAATAATAACCTCAGAACTTAACAGTATCTCATAAGAAGTCTTATACATTTAATGAAGCATATTCAGAGAACACTTTTATCTTGACTAAGCGTTCTTCTAGTATTAACACTCTGTAACTCTGTCACACTCTGATGGATACATTGGAGGCAACTCATGGTTCAGTGTCATGGAGAAGGATGCTTCAGCATGTGGACAGGAATACCTGGGTAAGTAATCTTCCAATTGGCAGACAAACCATTCTACCACCTGAGCCACAGTAGCAGAAAGAGCATACATTTACAGTATGCCATACAGGTGAAATCACAAATGCAGTTCCTAAGTGGGAATCACTCCAATTTAACCAGTATGAAACGACAAAATCATCTATATAACAAGATAAGACTGCAGCCATTTCAAGAAGATTCAAAGAAATAACTACATGATTTGCAAATATCCATCTTTATTTGTTTATAGCAGAGTAAACACATTCATTGTCTGTGTCGTTTCTCTGCGTTCTTGATCTCTTGGGGATTTTAATGCTTAAAGCAGCATAATGAAGGCTGTCAGCATGCTGGAAACCCTGTCAAAATGTGTACAAAGTAGATAAGAACAGGATTTCAGATGTAAACAATGGCCATAAGACAGAAGACTGTAAAAAGTTTGCTGAAGAGCGCTATAACAAGTCATAAAAAATATATTCACCTCCGAACTTGTTGTTGCGGGGCCTGAAAATCTTGCTTGAGATTCTGTTTGTGAAACATTGATTTAATTGAAAATCCAACTTTAGCTAAAACCATTCTAAGCCTAAAAGACTCCACTTACCTGTCGATTGGTGTCTGTTTCTTTTGTTTGTCTTGTACAGCAAGTATCCCAGTAAAACACTGAGGATGGAGCTGAATGTCAAAGCTCCGCTCAAGAAATACACCAAGCCCTGAGAATTAAACGTGCCTGCAACACAACAGAAACAGAGCTTTTTCTTGCCTATATCTTTAAATATTGATAAAGTGAGCAACAGGTAGAAAAGGTTACTCACCTTTAGGCTCCAGCTTGGTCCCATTTCCAAATAGTATGCGTCCACATGAGGTAACAGCACAGTAGTAGGTCCCAGCATGAGAAACACTCAGGTTACTCATTGGCAAGCTGTAGACACAGGTGTGCGTTTGTGTGCTGGGTTTGTTATCACACTGATCGTTTCTGCCCAAATGTGTGTAAATGAGTCCAGGATGGGATTCGTCTGAGTCTTTGAACCAGTAAACACTGTGCTCTCCATCACAGGTCCCAGTGTGTACTGTACAGTTCAGAGTCACGGAGCCTCCTGGCTGGATGGTCTCAGATGCTGACTGTTGGACCACAGCTTTGATGTTCACACCTGAACCTTTTACACTGACGATGATGTTTTCTAAAAAGGTTAAAGTGTATGAATACTGAACACAGTAGTAAGTAGCTGAGTCTGAAACTTGCAAATCTTTGATCGTCAAGTGATATTTGCCGTCTTGTGTATCCAGTGTGAAGCGTGGGTTGTTCTTGAGCTCTTCACTAAAAGAGTTGTTCACATTATATTTGAAAAAGTGAGAGACGATCTTTGGTTTTTGTCCCAGATTTTGCTTAAACCAGAACACTCTTGCAGAAACGTGAGCATCATATAAACATTTTAATGTCACTTTTCCACCAACTTGAGCTGATATGAAATGAGACTCTTGATGTTCAGATGAGAACATTTGCGACTCTGTTATCTGAACTGTAGTGGAATTGAAGAAAAAAACAAATGCACTTTCAGTTAAACGTAAAAACCTAACAACACAAAAATCTGAATCCTTAGTAATGGAACTTACCCATTTTTCCGAATAACAGACACAGAAGACAGAAGAAAAACACTGAAGACACCATTGTGGTGAGATTCTCGTGTAAAATGAAGGTTACTGATAGCTGCTCCACTTTTGAGAGGCAACAATGTGTTTGATTGGCCAGCCAAAGGTGACACACTATCTATTGTATGATACTCACAATCACGCGTTTACTGCCGCCTGTAGTGGAAAATACAGTATGATATCTGAGAGGAATTATACGTTTTTTGGAATTACAAACAGATCTAAAAGTATTGAAAGTTGAGTTTGGTCTACATTAGGTTTGTTATACTATATAAATGGGATCAAAGCAGAAGCTGCTCTGATCCAGTTGCATTTGATTTTCAAGTTTAATAATGATGTGTTTTTCATTGTAATGATTGATTGTCATTTCTAGCATATCCCATGCTGTGAAACACATTTCATTTAAAAGATGTGATGAGTAATAATTTGAGTATACAGAATTAGGATTCCAGCAGTGAGCTCATTGTGGATAACAGTAGGGCAAACCAGAAAACAGCAGCACATGGGCCCAGAAAGAGATCATTAGGAATATCAACATGCATACATTCACACAGGATTTTGGTATTTTACGTTCAGGATTATATTATCTTTGCTCTTAAGTTGCAGGAATACAACGTAACATTTGTAATTTATGTTATTTTACTCTTTATTCTACTGCTGTTTGAATAATGATTATCATACATCATTTTCAATAATGGTTTTGCATTCTGGATAAAAAGTTTCTGAGCTCATGAGTTGCAGCATGAAATAAACAAGACCTGTGGAAAACTACAGTTTTTGGGTGTTTACAGCAAGTGGACCTTAGGTCGTGATGTATGTGTTAGCGTAACAACACATCCTGCTGAAACCACAGAGGCCGTTGCACTGACACGTCTAAACAGAAAAATGGTAAAAGGCACTGTGTTTGACAGGATGCACCCACTTTTAGCTTTCTGTGCCTGTTTGTCATAGACTCAAATGTTTACAGTAAAGACATTTTAAATTTGTGTCAAAGCTGTGTGTCAACGATGTTTTGCCAAAACAACATGACCAATGGGATGGGATTTACTTGTTGACATCCTTCAATTGACAATAATTTGTCAGCTCTCCTTGTCCTATTTTAATTGACTCTACTGTCAGACTATGTGCCTGAACTTGGGTCACCTTTTAAGGCTACAGGTTTGTTGCTTTTCTTCACACATCAGTATCCAGGCATTCCCTTCTATTAGCCATAAACAGTTTAATCTTTTTCAACAGTCAAAGCACTTTAGACTATAAGTTACATTACTGGAAGTGCTTCACTCTTTTTTATGCAATTCCACCTCAACATGGACTTTTTCCCCCTAAATCCATGCTAATGGTCCTCACTCTCAACTAGCCCTACATGAAAAATGTTGTCCCATAATGCATCTTCCTATTCCCCAAGTTCTTGCCTCATAAACAAATCCTTCTCTGCCCAAACAAAGCAGTCATACCAATTCAATTCAATTCAATTTTATTTATTTGTTATTATTTATTTATATAGCGCCAAATCACAACAAAAGTCGCCTCAAGGCGCTTCATAGGTACAGAGAAAAACCCAACAATCATATGACCCCCTATGAGCAAGCACTTTGGTGACAGTGGGAAGGAAAAACTCCCTTTTAACAGGAAGAAACCTCCGGCAGAACCAGGCTCAGGGAGGGGCGGGGCCATCTGCTGTGACCGGTTGATACCACTTCATAAGAATCTGGCTTTTTACCTGCCAGTAATAATAAGCATGTCGTTTCCCTAATGCAAAATTCCAATTTGATATCTGCAAATACTTGCAATCGACATAACTGGTAAATAGTTCACATTATTCGACTGGGTATATTCTTTTGCTGAAACAACCTCTCCTCATTTCAGCATATTACCCCTGATCATTTGTTCTGCAAGAGATTCAGTAGTGACCTCTCACATGGCAAACCCTCCTAAATCTTGATGAGGTTACCCTGCAGCGACAGCAGTGCCAGCAAAAAGTAGTTGTATTGACAACAAATATTTACCGTAATCCTCCTTTACACACCCAACCCAGTGCAGGCTTAACTACGATTAAAATCAGTGAAGTTGAGAACAAGAGACTTGGTGTTAGTGAGAGTATTCACCATGACATCTAGAGTAAAGGTTAGGTGCTATCTATTTACTTAATTATTTTTGCAAGCTAAGTTGCAATCTAAAGAAAAATGGAGGAAAAACTGAAAATACAATGTAGTCGTACTTTAGGACTTATTAATATTAAACACAGCTCAGAGCTAGTTATTACTTTATGACGGGCATTTAAATTAACTATCCTGTACGAAACATGTGCAGTGATATGTATTGGCTGCATTTTGGGGGCAATAGTTGTATAGAACTTAAAATTTGAGCATTCATTCATTCATTCATTCGCTTCCGCTTATCCTTTTCAGGGTCGCTGGAGCCTATCCCAGCTGTCATAGGGCGAGAGGCGGGGTACACCCTGGACAGGTCGCCAGTCTGTCGCAGGGCTAACACACAGGGACAGACAACCATTCACTCGCACATTCACACCTAGTGACAATTTAGATTAATCAATTAACCTATCCCCACAAGCTGCATGTCTTTGGACGGTGGGAGGAAGCCGGAGTACCCGGAGAGAACCCACGCAAACACGGGGAGAACATGCAAACTCCACACAGAAAGACCCCGGCCTGATGGAGGAATTGAACTCAGGACCTTCTTGCTGTGCGGCAACAGTGCTAACCATCGTGCCACCGTGCTGCCAAAAAATTTGAGCATAAGTTTTTAAAATTTAAGATTTATATCCATTGTGCTAATACAGTATGTCAAAATGAAAAGAATAACAGCAGATTCAGACATGTGAGTTTGTGCTGAAAAGACTGATACCAAACAAGGGAATATAAATAGCTTTTAATGGTGAAAAATGAAGGTAAAATTAAAAGTAGTCAAAAATGGCCAATTATACCCTGGAACCCAATAAATATGAAAAATTTGGTTTACATTTTCGGTCAGAAATTTCTTCATGACAGTGCAGATTTGTGCAATTTTTTGTAAATTATTTCTAAATAAAAAATTAAAAAAAAAACTACACATCTGTATGTGTAAAGAAATGACTTTCATTTTGCCATCCCATTTGATTTCCCTGCCACTCTAAGAAAATTTCTCTAGATCCACTCCTGCTTGGGACCTTTTGTATTTAGGATAACAGATTAAGTCTAGTTTCTATACTTAACTTGGCAGCAGAATGACTGCATTTCATGATCCATTCTCTTGAAGAGACAAGCTTGGCTTATTCTCTCATACACAATAATAATAATCACAATAATGAGACATGTTATCACTGAATTGAAATGGCACACAGATATTGTCTCAAGCTTGAAGGTCTTTTAGTCTGTTTTATGTTTATTGAGCTTCAGAAACATTAAATTTACAAAAAAAATAAAAAATTAAAAGACTGTTGGCAGAGAATGAGGATTAAAAAAGAAGTGAATACTGACATTTGTCTCTCATGATTCCTTCATTATTCCATCTTTAGCTTCAAACTACAGTGACGTTACAAATGTGATTAACTAGCAAAAAAAATTATATTGTGAACATGACCCAACATAAAAAGAAATACTACATTTTAAACACTGTGTCTTCTCTGCGTACTACTGCTTTACACTATAGTACACACATTCACTCCAGGTGCGATCCTTCTGACTTCTTGATCTGTTGTGCAGGTTGACAGTTGAAGATGGAAAATAGAGTCTTTCTGCCTCTTGGAAACCCTGGCAACAAAATACTTATTAATAAAAATATGTCCACAGATTGACTTTTGCGTAGAAAAATGGTAACTGAATAGTTAGTGGTAATACATCACCGTTGCATCTGCTTTGGGGAGACTTGCTTGAGATTCTACAAGAACAACAAAAGTTTCTTATATTTATAATTCTGGAATAATTTGCAGGTTAAAAAAACCCCCTAAACATTAGTTACCAGGAGATTTGCAGATGCATTTCTTGCTGATCACACACACTGAGAAAGCCAGCAATACACTCAGGATGGAGGTGACTGCAAAGGTGCCGCTCCAGAAAACATTATCTGCATGAAGTCAGACAGTTTAGACAACTGGGTGGGACCTACTGTGGTTTTAGTAAACTCAGTCTTAATGTTACTCACGTTCAAAGTCCAGTTTTGTTCCATTTCCAAACAGTATGTGTCCACATGAGGCAACAGCACAGTAGTAGGTCCCAGCATGAGACAGATTCAGGTTATTCATTGGCAAGTTGTAGACACAGGTGTGTGTTTGTGTCTTAGCTTCTTTCTCACACTGATCATTCCCACCCCAATGTGTGTAAATGACTCCAGGATGGGACTGAGAATGGGATTCGTCTGAGTTTTGGAACCAGTACACACTGTGTTCTTCATCACAGGTCCCAGTGTGTACTGTACAGTTGAGAGTCACAGAGTCTCCTTGCTGGATGATCTCAGAAGCTGACTGTTGGACCACAGCTTGGACGTTTGACTCTGCATCGTTAACAATAACAGTAATGCTTTCTGAAAATGTTAATCTGTATAAATAAGAGGTCATACAGTAGTAAGTCGCTGAGTCTGAAATTTGTAATTCTCTGATCATCAAGTGGTTTTTGCCATTTTCAGTATCCAGTGAAAAACGGGGATTATTCTTGAATTCGCCAAAAAATGTGTTATTTTTTTCATATATGTAGGAGTAAGAGATGAGCATTGGTTTCTGTCCAAGAGGTTGTTTATACCAGTAAAGCCTTGCAGCAACCTCACCTTCGTAGAAACATTTCAAAATCAAGTTGTCACTGGTTTTACGTGACACAAAAGCGCTCTTCTGATGACCAGATGAGGACAGCTCTAGATCAGTCAAATGAGCAGAATTGAAATATAAAATAAAGCAAATGTAAGGCAAAAGTGAAAGAATTCAATATTCTTAGAGAGGAGAAATGAACCTACAGGCACACAACTCACCCAGAGTCCTCGATAACAGTATTGCAAAATAAAAAGCCAGCAGTGAAAAAGCCATTGTGCAGAAAATTGCTGTGTGAAAAACAGGAAGGAAAAAACCCTCTTTTCTACTCTTTATAGGCAGGACTGTGTTTGATTGGCCGACTAACTGTGACGCTGCGCTGTATGTCCTACTTAGGAAATGCAACGTGCTCACTGGAAACAATAGTATCACGTTTTGTTTTTTCTAATAATAAATACTGACATTGTGAGATGCCTATTAAGCACAACATTTTTAAAACGGGTGAAAGAACATAGTAACTCTCATTTACGTTCTACAGCCTAGAATAGAATAATAAAAAAGTAAAGTGAAGGTGGTGGATTTTGCAAAAGTTGCCAAATTGAATTTAATGAAAATTGGTGGATTTTTTGGGACAATATCTGTATCACTATCAAACAGGCCATTGGCCTTGGGGAAGCATATCCTTAGGAAATTTATATACAAAACCGAATTACTCATATAGTGTAGTTTGCAGAATAAAACAAGTAGTTTGTTTAAAAACTCCAGAATTTGATGTTATACTGCTGACATAATAATCTAAATGTGAACTTATATTCACTTTATATACTGATGTTTATATTGGCGTTTTTGAGTGTTTCCTTGGTCATTTTTGTGTCTGCATAATACTTAACATCCTGTCAAAAACAGTAAATGGCTGTGCACTGACAAAGGAAAGAACGTATGATTTCAGTCAGTTTCTAAAAATTTTTTTTTTCTAAGTCAGAATCAGGTCATTTCCCGCTTGTAACCACAAAGATCACACAATAGATAATACAGCCAAGTAGTTACACAATACTAAAGCCTGTCTAAGCTTAAAGAGATCTTATCTTTAGACCGAAAACCGCGATTTAAAGACCAATATCAAAAGAATATTTCTAACTTCACAAAGCATCTTCAATGAGATTCTTAACAACAACAAAAAAACATAAAGCTCTGGTTTGAATCTTTGCGCTAAAATCCGATTAGTTGGATGACTTGAACTCAAAGCTACATTACAGAGGTTGTTTGAACTTTGACAAATAGTAACAGATATGTCTGAAAAAGAAAATAATATGTGCAATTTGTCTTGTATTGGGGAAAACCTGGGGTAGTCACACAACTCTTTTTAATCCCTTTTGAGTATCTCAAATCCAACCCGGTCTTCACAGCAAAACACACCGAACTAAGAGGGAATTCATTACAATGTTCCTTAAATGTGAAGCCTAGCGTTGGTCTTCTCTTGCAGCTGGTTCAGTGAATTTAGTTCAGAAAGTGATGAAACCAGCAGTTTATGAATCTGTGAGATTTCTGCTTTCAGCACCCTGACGCATGATCGTGTATCGTGGCATGATCGTGTGATTTGTGCTTTGTGTTTACATCCTTTTACCTGCTCTTTAACCATTTACTGTTTTACAGTAGCTGTGTTTTGTGATTTTCTTTTAGCTTTTAGTTGAGATTCTGACGTTTCTGTGGATATCAAACAGCTATATTTAAATAACAGATCTGGTGGTACATTCCAGATGTTCTCCCTCTCTCCCCCATTACTGGGGGCATTGCGTTTCAATAGATTAAGTGCAGAACTAAAGATGGAGTGAAATACAAAATAAGCTTTTATCACTGTCTGTTCAGGATAAACGTTCAGAATAATCCAAGGGAAAACAGAAGAAATACAAGGAAAAAACAATAAACACAAAGTAATGAGGTTAGGGGAAATAGGATGAATGCACAGCAGGGATAATGAGACATGGGAAGTTATTCAGTAGAAGGTACGTACGACTATCAAAATAAAACAGGAAGTAACCAACAAGGGAATATCTAACACAGAGGCTGAGATTTAATGGGAGAGGCAGGGAATCAAATAAAAAATAAAAAATAAACTCCAGGAATTATTACAATTACTTAAAAACCCATAATAGTAAGGTACAAGAACTAAAGTAGCCACCCTTTGCTTTGTTGACAGCACTGAAAACCCTTGGCCTTCTCTCAAATGGTTTCACTTCACATTTGTGCCTTGTCAGGGTTCATTTGTGAAATTTGTTCCCTTCTCAATGTTGTTGGGACCATCAGTTGTGTTGTACAGAAGTCAGGTTGGTACACAGCTGACATCCCTATTTGACAACTGTTAGAATTCATATTATGGCAAGAACTAATCAGACAAGTAAAGAGAAATGACAGTCCATTATTACTTTAAGAACCTAAGTTTGGTCAGTCTGGAAAATTCCTAAAACTTTGAATGTGTCCCCAAGTGCAGTCGCAAAAACCATCAAGGGCTACGATGAAACTGGCACACATAGAGAGTCAGCCAGTTTCATCGTAGCCCTTGATGGTTTTTGCGAACTTGGTTCTATGATAGATCTTAAAGGCTTAAAAGCAACTCATGTATGTATAGATATAGACATGCATACCAGGAGCCAAGCTATTGGAGAGATTAAAAATCAACTAATAGAACCTTAAAATCAACTCTGCATTTAACTGTCAGCCAATGTAAAAATGCAAATATCAGAGTAATACTCTCTCTCTCTCTTTTTGGTACCTGTCAGTAGCTGCAAGTACTTCTCTTGCAGCTGCAAGGTGGGACAGGCCATTCAGAATCAGAATACTTTATCAATCCCTACGGAAAGTATGTATTTACAGTTGCTCCAAGACAATAAGAACAGTAACATGCTGAACATGTGAACATGCTAAATTAAATAATACAATATATTACAAAGTTTACAAAATATAAGAACTAGCTATAATAAATACAAATAGCTAAATTATAAATATCCAGAACATAGAGAGAAACGACATGTATATGATTGACATTTTACTTTAAAATGAGAACTTTGTTATTTTCACTGTAGAGACCTCAGTCGGCTTAGAAGATAGAGACGACTCTGGAATCCTGTTGAGCTTGATCAAGATCAGAGGTCAGATTTACTGAAAATCTTATGAACTCAATAACTCATTTCTACTAAAATTCTTGGATGACTTTGAATATTTGTGAGGTCAGGGGGGATGTGTTCTTAAATTCTTGTGAACACCATAAAGTGATAGCATACATTTATATTTTAGACCTACAGGTCAACGTCAAAGATCAGGTTGGTTCTAAGTGTTGGGAATGTGACTCAAGAAGAATGTCACTTGGTATTTTCAAATTTATACAACACATCTAGTAGGGGGCTGAGGGATTGCACTAGTAGCCACCAGTATATTTATTTTTAGAAAAAGGTGTATATAATCATTTTACTCGTTCATCTTCTATTTGCTGTGACCTATCTCTTGACAACGCTCTGCTATGGGGTCAAATTAATTGCAGCAAATTCCTAGATTGGCTCTGGTACTAATCTGTGTAGTACCTGAAGTAGTCACACTGGCTCAAAACACAAGATCATTGATGTTGCACTGACAGAGATAAAATGAAAAAGATCTACAGCCATAGCCTAGCAGCTTTATTTAGTCACAGTGCTGGTTTTTTACTAAATGTGAATGCATAAACTCCAACAAAATGGTTCAAAAAAAGAGAATAAAACTGAAACCCTGCAATTTGTTTGTAGTCTGGCACGAAAACTTCATTCATGCAGTTTTTTTTACAACCTTGAGATCAAATATTTAGTAAAACGAATACATACTGTTCAGAAATGTATATGTATTTAAAAGTAATCATTCCTCAAGTAACAGCCAAAGAATCCTGTTGGAATATGGATGGGAGACAAGCAGGACATGCATTTGCCCGATTTTCCAGTTGCAATTGGGCTAGAATGTTAGTACTGGTCATAAATTGTATTGAACAGAATGTAGAATTGTTTTGTCTGCTCGACATTGAAATGTTGAAATGTCCATATTTACTGCTTTATGCTGGAGTACACACATTCACTCTTGCTGTTGTCTTTCTGTCTTCTTGACTTGTTAAGTTTCTTAGCACTTAAAGCTGCATAATGGAGGCTGTCTGCATCTTGACAAGCCTGTCAAGTGAATATGCAAAAGTCATTTGAGATATTTCCTTCACAGAAATTTAGCATTGTTTTATTAATAAGTAACTGGGATTTGATTTACCTCTGAATTTGTTGTTGAAGGAGTTGGTAATTGTGCACGAGGCTCTAATAGTCAAAGACAAAAAAATACTCAGATCCAAAAGCTAAAAGATAAACGTAACAAATTTAAGCTATCAGGCACAAGCAGTACCACATACCTGGGCAAAGGCAGTTGTTTCTCTTGATTGTCTTGCATACTGAGAAAACCAGTAGGAGAACCAGGATGGTACTGAATGCCAAAGCTCCACTCAAGTAGTACACCAAGACAAGAAAGTCTGCCTCACCTGCAGTAAGCCAGTCATCGGAAAGAGATTTTTAGCTTATATGTATCTTCTCACAAAAAGTGATCAGAATTGACTGTAAATGACTCTTCAGTACTCACGGCTGAGATCCAATCTGGTCCCGTTTCCGAACACTATGTGTCCACATGAATCAACAGCACAGTAGTAGGTCCCAGCATGAGACATGTTCAGATCCTTGAATGGCAGGTTGTAGACACAGGCGTCTGCGTGTGGGTTAGTTTTCGTCCTACAATAATCATTTTTGCCTCCATAAGTGTAAATCAGTCCTGGACGAGATGCTTCTGTTTCTTTGAACCAGTAAACACTGTGTTCTTCATCACAGGTCCCAGTGTGTACCGTGCAGTTCAAAGTTACGGAGCCTCCTGGCTGGATGGTCTCAGATGCTGACTGATGAACTAAAGCTGGGTTTTTCAAACGTGCCTCCCTTACTCTGACAATGGTCCCCTCTGCAAACGTTAACACAAATCTATAGCTACATGCACAGTAGTAAGTAGCTGAGTCATTGATTTTCAAATCTGAAATGTTCAAGTTATTTCTTCCGTTTTCTGTATCCAGTGTGAACCGTGGGTTGTTCAGGAATTCATCATGAAAAGTGATTTTTGTATCGTACACATAGAATGTAGAGATTAGCCTCGGTTTCTGTCCCAGAGTTTGCTTATACCACAAGATCCATGCTGAATCGTCACCTTCATAGAAACAATGCAAACTAACATTTTCTCCAACATCAGCTAAGAT